CCCGCCATTACATCTCAGGTGAGGAGGGTCGGGTGTCAGGACCTCTACCTGCCGGGCATTCCTTAGGGTCCCACCCTTACATTTCTAGTCACCTCCGAGGGCTCCCTAGAGATTTTTGTCCGCCCTTATTTTGTAAGGGCGGACCCTAACAGCCGAGAATGTGAAAACAGGCTTAGGGATCGATTTTGTCCTCATTAGGGAGTGGTGGAACGATGATTTTGTAAGGATCCTTACATTTGTAGTGGTGTCGAACGAGGCCCTTAGGTGCAGGCGTCAGGGTCATGACATAGTTTTATTTCAGATTTTTTTTATTTATTCTTTTGTTTCTCCACGCTGAGGCTGCTGGGACCTTGATTGGGACTTGCCTGGACCTGACCCAGGTCATTCTGAGGCAACCCAGGCTGGCTGCTAGCCCAGTGTATAATGCATAGACAGAGTCCTTGAATTCAAGTGATCTAATTGGGCTCTGATGGTTTTTTTTTTTTTTTTTGTTCCTTTCAAGGCTCTTTAGAAATTTTGACTCTAGCGTGATGCCGCCATGATTGACTACATTGCAGAACTTTTATCAGGGTGGGTGAGTGAGTGGGGCTAAGTACCAGTGGGGGGTGCGCGCTGACAGCAGAGCAAAGTGTATGAGAATTGCCGTGTCCCCGTGGAGTTGAGTGTAGTGTGTGTGTTGAGTTGGACACTACAGCCTTGCAAGGGTGGGGTGGATATCACGACCGGTACGATTCCAATTTTGAACACCGTGTCCTGACTGTATTTTGTCGTGATGTAGCCGTGACGTAGGGACTCAGGTCACCCATGAGGGTCGGCTTGACCAGATACGCTCAGGTCAGGCGTGATGTAGGGACTTGCTGCACTACTCACGACATTCACAAAAGACCAAAAAAAAATGGCTGTGCATCTTCCTGTGTTCTAGGGGAAGATTTATTCCAAATTTGGACAGTTGGTGAGTAGTGGATCCACCCCTGAAAGTGCAACCTTGAGCAAGGTCAGAAGCAGGAAGAAGAAGGATTACCTCCCAATAATAATTAAAAAAACAAAAAAAATTACCTCCTGGACCCAAGCACGGGAGTCCTCAGTCTGGATTACAAGGCTCGAATCTTCTACAAGCTCACGAGCCAACAGCTGATACACATCGATGAATCTCTCCCGTTCCAGCTTCTTCTCAGTTGCTGCGTCAACGCTGGTCGTTGCCCCATTTTCCATCTCCAAATTTAATTTAGCTACACACCATTAAACAGTACAGAAATAGCACACAGAGAAGATTAGCATGGCAAGACCCTGATCAGGAAAGAATACAACAATTAAAAAATAAACCCTTGGAGTATGCATACTATCACTGGCAGGGAGCGCGAATCAGGGGGAAGCTTTCAAAGTTCTCTACTGAAGGCGCGATGGACGCACATTTTTTCAACCTTGCAAAAGCACAAGCCAGACGTACCACAATGGATGCATTACATGACCCAAACGCTAGTGAAGCGGCACCGGCACTGACTACAGCCAGATGCACCAAAATCACACGTGACTTTTTCAAGGATCTTTTCTCATCCCATGTATCGGGCGGAAGCGAAGCACACCTCCCAAGGATAAAGGAATTCCTAGAGCCAGTGGACAAAAAACTAACACAGGAACAACAGGAACTCCTTGAGGCGCCTCTCTCCAAACAAGAGGTCTGGACAGCACTCCCACAGATGGAGGAGGAAAAAACACCCGGAATCGACGGCCTCCCCAAGGAGTTCTGGGAAACAACATGGGATTTCGTGAGCAATGATGCGATGAACTTCTACGAGGAGGTGTGGTGCACCGGGAAAATGCGGGAAATGGTCGGACAGGGAGTGTTATCCTTGTTGTACAAAAAAGGGGATAAAGTGGATCATTCCCTGTGTTGCAGGGTAATCAATGCTGGCAGGCCTCACAATCACTGACTTTGTTTGACACACTTGATGCATGACACATATCTTGTACATGGGACGCTGGACCCGTCTTCCAGCAGGTGATGCTCCCCACCAATAGATGGAGCCTTCCCCCTGGTGTTAGTGGTGACTGCCTATCAGCAGCACTAACACCGGAGAAGGTCTGTTAAAAAAAAAAAAAAAAAAAGGAATTACCGTCAGATCACCCTCCTTAAAGTGGTCTATAAAATGTTGGCCAAGGCCCTAGCCAACAGGATGATCCCCCTGATGGAAGACATCATCCACCCGGATCAGACCAGCTTCATGCAGGGAAGAAATATACAGGAAAAAATTATACTGGTGCATGAGGTACTGCAGTTAACCCCGCACTCAAAGCAAAATGCAGCCCTAGTCTTCATAGATTTAAAAAAAGCCTATGATCATGTGGACTGCCTGTTTTTAGATAAGAGCCTAGAGAGAATGAACTTTGGACCAAGGGCGTCGTTAGACACTCCTTGGGGACCCGAAATTCACAAGGATGTGCTCATTCCACGTATCCTTGGGGACGATTTGTGAAAAAAAAAGTGAAAACAGCACAAGGAAATTTCCTTGTGGCGTCCTTGTGGCTCCAGCCAATCTCTTCTAATCCCCAAGGGACCTCCCGAGGTCCCTCGGCACACAAGGAAGTGCGATATTCGGAGTGGCAAAGGCATGCGTCGACGCACAGTTTCGGTTTGAGGGTGGTCCAGCCGTGGTCTGCCCAACGGGAGCACGAACATCCCTGCCCTCCACTGTCTGGGCGGCACCCCAACGGCTCCAAACCGTCACCGTCTGCGTGAGGCCTCCGCCCGACGAATCGGCCGCCGCCAGCCGGTGTCATGCGGTCTGCTGCGCTGGGAGATCATAGACAACGGTCGGAAATTCGAATGTTTTTCCGCGCCGGCCCTTTACTCGACGATGATAGTGTTTTTTCGCAAGATCATTGTTTTCGTCGGTTGTCGTCACGCCGTGCACGTCCAAGCACAGATCTTCCCTCGCTTTTTCTTCTCTCGACGATGTTCTTCGGTGGATGGTCGACCACTAACGTGGACTTGCTGCCCTTTCCATGGCCCTTGCATGGCCGACCTGCTGCACAGGCTTCCTCTGCTACTCGTCGTCGTGCTGCTTGTCATCGTTGTCTTCTTCCACGTGTGTTTCGTCGGTCGGCTCCCTGTCGCGGCTTGCAAAAGGAGGTCTTCCAAGAACGGCGACAGGATGGATCGACGAATGACCAACAGCAGACCGGCAGCCACGACAGCAGGAGCGAGCAATCAGCAACGCACCGCGGGGTTTGTGGCCAAACAAGAGTACGACCGCACGTTGTATGCTCACCGGCCTTCGCATGAGATTCCTCTGCCGCCGTCGGATGACAAGGG